TACAACCCTACAACCCTTATATAATGCTCGTCCGTGCATGAGTACTTACCCCTATCTCCAACCCTGCGTCTACCACACCTAGGATATGTATGGGAGAAACCCTAAAACCATACAACCCTACAACCCTTATATAATGCTCGTCCGTGCATGAGTACTTACCCCTATCTCCAACCCTGCGTCTGCTACACCTAGGATGCCGTCTCTGTTTCTGGTGAGTCTCCTGCGCAGTGTGCCACATATGGGACTGATGGCGTCACCCTCTCGACGACCGGAGCAGCCGTTGGAGCTGTGGGGCTTTGAGCCTTCACCCCCGTGCAAGGTATGCAGACGAGTAGTATATACCTACACAGTATATATCTACATAGTATATACCTTCACAGTATATACTTACACAGTATATATCTACGCAGTATATATATACCTACACAGTATATACCTGCACAGTATGTACCTACACAATGTATGCTGAGTGAAGTATGTTGGGTTGTTAGTTTCTTACTGTATGAGTATATACCTACAAGTAAGATGAACGAACCTCGAGGGTTAGTGTGTTCACCTATTGGGAGGTGTGCAATCTGTGAGTGTATACGTCCATGTATACAAACGTGATACATGTTGGTATATAGAAAGAACTTTGGGGCCTTTTTCCTAAAGCCTTAAGCCCCCAAACCCCTAAAACCCTGCTGGTGTTTGGCTCAAGACCGATGGTGTGTAGTTGTATACATATTTGTATATAGTGAGAACTTTGGAAGCTCTTGCCTAAAACCCTAAAACCCTAAACCCCTGCTGTTGCTCAAGACGGACGCGATGTCTTCATTTCTGGTCCTCTGTGTGTGTGCATAGGCATTTGCGTAGCAAGCGTATTACCTTATCGTATAAATTGAACAAGTTTACGCTTTATTGCAGTCCTGCGATCCACAGTACTATCGCCTGTATTTATCCACCCTTTAATGTCTAAGTAGTGTGTGAAGTGAGGTACTGTCGTTCCTTGTTAAGGTGGTATCAGGATTGATAGGAGTGATCCCCTCGGAGTCAATTCCGGTTGTGTTTTAGGGTTTACGCTAGGGTTAAGGATTCACACACCCAATTTTATCCCAATTATCTGTTCGGTATCAAACCTATTCACTAGACATACGGCCACTCCCATTTTTATGTCTCTGTTTTCCATTTTCATATCTCTGTTTTCCGTTTTTATATCTCTGTTTCCCATTTTTGTATCTCTGTTTCCCATTATTTTATATCTGTGTGTCCTGTTTGGTACCAACTACCAAACCTTATACAGCTGGTGCGAGAAACTCTGTGCGAGCTGGAGCTGCCCTATGTGCAGCGCAACTGCGCCAAGGGCAGTATCAAGCGACCCGAATTCCGAGAGAAATACGGACACACCTTGTCCTCTTTCCGGCAGATAACAAACCAAATTAAGGTGTGGATGTCCATGCATTCTTTTACATTTAATTTATATGCACCAACCGTCTCCGCCCATCACGTCACCTTTCAATTCATGTCACGAATATCCGTATATCACTTCGTATGTACTTTTACTTATATACCCTCTAGCTCCAACCCTTTGAGCGCTACAAAGATAGACATAAATCACCCTCTATTCGCTGCACAGGCGTAGCCTACGCTATTTATATACAGAGTGTGTTTGTTATGTTATGTGAATTGGGTTCGTGGTCTTTGAAATTAAAACAACACCGATCAATCTTGCCTTCTTCTATTCAGGTGCCTCTACTTATAGACCCGAATACCAAGACCGAACTTTTCGAGAGCGCGGACATAGTCAGCTATCTGAGGCGCACCTACCAGGTTGGAGAATCAACCGATGCCGACTTAAGCGCATACAGTACTGCGAAGAAGGCCTATTAAAAGACTACATTGCCAAATGGATGGAGATATATTAAACATTGTCAAATGGATGGAAGATATATTAAACATTGCCAAATGGATGAAGATATGTTAAACATTGCCAAATTTATGGATATA